ATCTTCATCTCAAATCATGGATTATTATTTTTTTTGTTGATGAAACTTATTACTGGAAACACTGGAGTTGTCGTTTCAGTTGATCGGTAATGAAAATAGTCTTTCAAAGTAACCGACTCATCTAGAAGCATCCTGCTGACAGTCCAAGGATTTAAATGCTGGGGCTGGGATGTGTGGGGGAGCACTAAAAGGATGTATGATTCTCAGCAGCAGGGGTTTTGACTTGAAATTAATTTCTCCTGTTAATTGAACACACCCAAGCTGATCAGTGTCTTTGGGGAGGCAGTTCTGGAATGCCTTCCATAAAATGTCTCTCTCCAACTGTTCAGTGTTGTTTTAATTACTGTAATTGTTTCCAGAAATTATATGTGTATGTTGGGTATTTTAATATTCCTCCCCCAAAAGTTTAAATACTAGGTCACTCATTTTAAAACATTTGCTCTTTCTCCTAGTATGTTTTTTAACTGACCTTATCAATAAAAATATTCAGTTACACAGATTGTCCTTCTGTAAAATTCTTAGCAGCTTTATAATCACAGACAAAATGTTGCTTATAGCATTAACTAGATCATGCTTTTTTTGTGGCTGCTACTACCATGGATTTGTTGTTAAAGCATTTCAGTTAAGAAGGAATTAGAAGTTGCTGCTCTCGTTCCTAGCTTCCTCATAAATTATATTATTTGGGAATTTTTCTCGTTGAGATATCCAATACTGGGCGTAAGCAGGAGCGTGCGTGCAACATGTAGTTTAGAATGTACCAAATTCTTGCGACTTCATAATATGGATTGTTCTGAATGTTTTAACTTTTACAGAACTGCATATGTAGGGCCTTTGTTCAAATGGAAAGAACTGAAGGTTTGTGGAGCATTACTTTGTATTATTTTTTGATGTTGGGAGTTAAGAGCAGCTTTTTGTTGTTTATTTCATTAAATGATATATGGGTTTTTCATGATTTTTAACACATGTACTCAACCTGTTCTGCAGATGTCGAATTGTCTTTCTTTCTCACCTTTCACATTGCTCCTGTTGATGGGACGCAGTGATTTGGTTTAAAAGCAGCAGCATGACTTCTGTTGTTTGTGATTTGCTGCAGTATGTAACTATGCCTATTTCTATGCCTACTAAAATAAAAAAAAAAAAAAAAGATCTGCTTCATAGTATGTATGCATGTTATTATCTTTCCAGCTTGAGGCAAAGGTTTCAAAAAAGACCAAAATCCTGCCAGAAATCAATGCCAGACGCCATGGTATCACCCAAAGGTGGACGGCTGTTCTTGATAACCTACTGTGAGGCACAAACACTATGCTTGATAATAGGGGTTGGCAAGTTGGACTAATTTCTGGGCTCTCATCTTATTTAACTGAGTTAAGTGCATAGCCTGAGTAAGCTGATTTAACCAGCTGAAGCATTTCTTTTATCCTTAGACTTGTGTGTTAACACTGACAGTGAATGAAAATTTTAAGAGACTTAAGAAAATAAGTGTGTACATCAGCTACACTCAAAACTTCCTTGTAAAGTGTAAAGTTCCCACATTAACATGTACTCACACATACTACGCCTGATAAATTCCACAAAAACAGAGAACTGAAAAGCTCAGTGATGTGCCTACTGTTAACTCTCCTGGCTCTTTTTAGATGTTGGTGCCTTACTGCGTTGCCGCTGCCTCTGTGTGAACAACTCACAGTGTTTATTCAACCAGATACTCGTCCTCTGTTCAAAGCTGTTAATGATGCTATTTTTTCTCCAGCAGTCTGTTGTGTGGGGAGAAGACAGGAGAGTAAGGGCTTGGATACAATGGTGAGTTCACAGGGGTTGGTGGGAAGATGGCAACTCGAGTAGGGAAAACTTACGGGGTGTGGTTTTGTGGTGTGTGGTAATTGTTGTAATGATGAAGTGTGGGCTGTAGATGAAATGTTTCTCCATGGGTATTTTTATGCTTAGTTGGAGGTGATCAAGGGATACAGGCAAAGGCTGGGCTGCACTAGAGGCAGTTTGGTCCAGTTCAGTAAAACTGTCTATTGAAACAGGGCGTTTCTGGACTTAGCTATTAACAACCCCGCTGTATGCCCATACTCCCTGCAAAACAACCCCACCTTCCCCCACTGCTGTCTGTTAAATTCCATTAACTACTGGAGCCACAGCCCTCATCGCCACCTCTTCTCCCCGGAGTCATGTTGATTATGTTCAGTTTGGTGGGCAGCTCTTCCTCCGCTCCCCTTGCTCGCTTAGAGTCTTGTCTTGTTTTGACCTTTTTGACCTTTCTTGTCTTCTTTTGACCAAACCCAGGGTTGGCTGTTGTTAGTTGGTGGCCTGCACTTGGAGAAGACCTACAGAAGCATTGCCTTTCCTCTCATCCAGAGCAGGGCATTGTATCTCTTGGCAGACAAAATCTGGCAGAACAGTGGAGATCCTGTTGAACACTGTCTTAATTTGGCCCATCAGTCGGATTTGCACAGAGCTGCCCCATCAGTTATAAAGACGTACGTCTCTGCTAACCCTCTATGAGCTCGTTAGGCCTGAGTATAGCTAGTCATCCTCCTTAATCTACCAGTTAGGTTTGCACATGCCTGGCCTCCTTCATCAGTCAGGCTTATAAACAAGTATTGGACAAATCCCATCAACCAGGTTTATATGCACAGCATAGGTAGCTGTAGTTGTAACGTGTATTACAGCTCAAAGTGAGTTTACACTCAGCCATTTCAAAACCCCACAAAGGTCAAACACGAAGTCCTTATATTAGTCCCTCCTTATACTAGTTCTTTTCAGTACTTATTTGTCTATTAAATTTTTAATACAGGGACAATGTTTTATGATAAGGAGAAAATCCAGCTAGAGCAAAAAGCACCTGTAGAGGTGTAGAGGATGTAGAGGATCACAGGCATGGCTTTACTTCTGTTCAAGGAGAAACTGTCAGTTAATTCAGATAAGAGGTGACTGTAATAGCAGTGTGTACAGTCATGGATGGAAGAGAAGTGATTGTTCACAATGTGTCACATAAAAACAAAGAGCTATTTAATGAAATTATCCAGCAGCAGGTTTTAAACCAACAAAAGGAAGTAACTTTTTACACAGTGAATAATTACATTGTGGAATTAATTGCCACAGGATGTTATGGAGACCAGAAGCATTAGTGGGTTCAAAAAGCTACTAGACAAATTCACGGAAGAAAAACTCATCGACAGCTATTAGATGTAAAGATTCAAATAAAGTCAGTGACTTGGGAAATCCTTAAACTGCAAGTTCTGTAAGTAGGGAAGGTATGTGGTGGGGAACAGGGCAAGATCTTTCTCTTTGGCGCTCTTGTTATACTCCTGCTCCAGCTTTTTGCTTTTGCCACTGTCAGAGACAAGAGAGTACACTGGATGGATCTTGGGTCTGATGCAATACTTACATCTTTATGCAGCAAAAAACAAACTACACAGAAAATGCAGAGTCCACAAGCACTACTGCATCCTGAAGTTTATGTTGACTGGCTGCATAGCTTTAAACAAATAGCATTTATATGCCATTTCAAACCTATTTTGGAACTGTCTATCTAAAAACTACCTTTTGCCTCCGTAATTTTAATATTTTAAAAGTCTTGAGGGTATCTAATAATTTATCCCTGTGTTCTTACTCATATATTTGATGATTTAAAAAATAAGTAAATGAACAGCTCCTGCTCTGGGCATTGCTACATAATTGAAAAATTCTAAATCTCAAAGCTCACTTCAAATCTATATCATATAAAACCACATAAACCATTTCATAATTAGGTACTAGCAGATAAAATCCAGCTTGGAGTTAGCAGAGCTACACCCACTTGGACCAAAGAAAGGACGAATCTTCAGCTAGATCCTTGTCTTGCAGCCAGTTTTCCCCTTATGCCCAAGAAAAGCTTAATAACTTGTTCTAAATAACAAATCTTGCTTGAAATATTGAAGGGAAGAGGTGAACTATAGCTCTGGGTGAGTATCTGCTGGGACCCCTTCTTATAAATTTGATGAAATTCCTACTGAAGTACCTGCTCTGATCTCAGCCACACCAAATGGGATGAAATGTTTTCCTGGATGGTTAAGTACCCTACAGTGTAGGGTTTTTACTTCAATAGATCAGAATCTGAAAGTTTTAAGATCAGTCCTTGAGATTCCTGAATTGGCGAACATAAAAATGCATTTTATATCCCCATAAACAGTGTTATAAACTAGAAAGGTGATCCAACTGGGGTTATATATATGGTTAACTAAGTTGTGACTATGGGCTGCTTGTTACGGGAGATGCTGAATAAGAGACAGCAAAGTATGTCTTATTTTTTAAAAAAGACAGCACTAAGTTGATAGCACTGTCAGAAATAAATTGTGATTTTACATGAACTTTCATTACTTGAGGAAAGCTTGGATCCGCCAGTTTTGTAGCTTCTTCAAGTGGTTTTTGCCTCTCTCAGCCTCCTGTTTATCAGACTGAAAAACCCCAGCTGCTTCAACTTCTGTCAATCATGAACCCATGGCCTCTCCCCAGACTCCACATACCCCTTGAACTGGGGAGTCTGATACTGGATGCAGTATTTCAGCTATTGCTTAATCAATGCTTCATCTAGGGGGAGAGAACTTCCTGTGTCCTGCTGGCCGTGCTGCTCTTCCTGTAGCCAGTATCCAATTTGCCTTATGAGCAGCGAGAATGTTTCCTCACATTTTGCTTGGCATTTACCATGACCTCCCTGTCCTTTTCAGCAGAGCTGCTACAAAGCCAGTCAGGTAGAATAGAATTGAATTGAATCGTTTAAGTTGGAAAAAACCTTTAAGATCATCAAGTCCAACCGCTAGTTCCTAGCATGCACTGATGCATGGGGTTACTCTGCCCCTAGAAAAGCTGCAGAACTTTTCTTGTTGAACTTGACATTTCCAGTCCTGAATTTCCTCAAGGTCCTTCTTGATTAAAGCTCTACTGCTTGGTGTGTGGGACGCCACTGGGTTAGTATTGTCTAGAGGATTGCTGAGAGTGCGTTGTGTTTCATCATCCAGGTCGTTGGTGAGGATATTGAACAATTTCGGCCCTGCTGTTGACCACTAAAATACACTGCTTGGTACTGGCTACCAATTGGATATCAAACTGGTGTTTACTGTGAGCGTTAGCCTCCGAGCCCAGCTGTCCCGGTAATTTTCAGTCTACCTGCCAGACCATTTGATTACATCCACCATTCTCCCCACATCTGCATTTCAGGTCAGTTCCTCGCATAAGGCAATCAGTTCGATCAAGCATGAACTGCCCTTTGTAAGTCCGAGTTGATTGTTGCTTTTTGTTCTCTGCATGTTTGGAGGTGGCTTCCAAAAGGATGTGGTATGTAATCTTTCCAGGGGCTGAGGTGAGGCCAGCTGGCCTGCAGTTGCCTGGGTTCTTTTTCTTGTGCCTTCTTTAAAGAGAGGCATAGTGCTACCTTTTTTCCAGTTTTCAGGAGCCTGCCCCAATGATCATGTTTTTTTTTTTTGGAGATGACAGGCAGGACTCTTGGAGTCACATTAGCCAACTCTTTCAGCACTTTCAGATTAATCTTGTCTGTCCTGAGAAATTTGAATACATCCAACTGCTCTAACTCATTCCTAAGTTGTTGTCCCTAACCTGTTCCCTCCCAAACCATTCTGGTGCACCTGGAAACCTAGGAGTAATCTTTTCCTGTGAAGACTGAGGCAAAAAACTTACAGAATTCGCTCTGCTGCTCTTTGTATCCCTCACCTGTTTTAATTCTAAATGTGCTTTTCCCAATTTTGTTCCTAACTGCCAGAGTAGCGCTTTTGTACTCCTTTTTTATTGCCTGTTCTTGTTTGCTGTATGGTGTCTCTTTGCATTACAGTTCATTAAGTAGCTCTTTGCTTAATCAAGTGGGTCTTCTACTGAAATTTCCAGTCTTCTTGTACAACAGGATTATTTTTTCCTGAGCTCTCAGTAAGTTTTCTATAAAAATGTACCAGCTGTCCTAGGCACCTTTTGCATCAACTTCATGGGAGATTCTGCTGAGCCATCTCCTGAATAACCCAAAGTCCACTTGCATAAAATCCTGAGTCCTAATTCTTCTGCTTACCTTTCCAATCTTCTTCTGGATCCTGAATGCATCACCCTGTGGTCACTGCTCCCAAGGTACTATCTGTGGCCACATATGCCACTTGTTCTTCCTTGCTTGTGCACAGAGGTCACGTAGAGTATTACCTTCGTTAGGTCTCTTTAACATTTGCATTAAAAAATTATCACCAATGCACTCTACAAATATCCTGGATTACTTGCACAATGCCGTGGCGCCCACGTGGTTGAAATCCCTAACGAGAACCAAGGCTAATACTCAGGTTGCTTTTGGTAGTTGTTTGTAGACAGCCTTATCCACCTCGTCCCCTTGGGCAGGTGGGCTGTAACAGACACCCACTGCTGCGTGGCCAATGTTCCTTTTGCCTTTGCTTTTGACCAGAAGATTCCTGTCAGATATGTCTCTGGTTTCACACTGGACCTCTGCATAGACAGAGAGGTGCTTTATAAGAAAGTGCAATTGCCCTTCTTCTTCATTGCATGTTCTGCTTGAACAGCCTCCATGACACTGTTCCAGTCATGGATGCTTTGCCATTTAATCTTTGTGATCCTGATCACATCAGAACTCTCTGACTGTGCATAGACTTCCAGTTCTTCTTGTTTGTTGGCCAAGCTCTGTGCATTAATATCCAGACACCTGAGGTAAGCCTCTGCATGCCCTGCCTCCGAGTAGAAATGTGTAACTTTCCCTTGTGGCCCTTTCTCACACACTTTCTCCTCCCTTCCCTTACCTCTGGGCCAAGTACCCATTCCTCAGTGAATTTAGTTTAAAGCCATCCTCACTAGAATAGCAAGTCTCTTCACAGAGATGTTTTTCTCTTTGTCAGGTGGCTTCTATATCTTCATAGCAGTCCGTCTTCATTGAATGAGGCACTGTAACCAGAGAAATCAAAGTCTTGCTGATGACAGCGGCTGTACAACCAGGCATCAGTCTGATGGTTGCAACTGGTAGCCAGGCTTCTCCTTTGACTGGAAGGATTGAAGAGAGCACCACTGGGATTTCTTGCCTTCTCATGTTTGCTCTGAACTCTCCGTTCCATTTGAGGTGCTCAAGGTTTCCCTTGGCTATGTTACTTCTTTCCCACAAGAGTTAGCAGCAAGAGGTAGAATTTGGATGGCTGGGTGAGTGTTGGCAGTTTCTCTGCAACATTGGTGATCTAGGTTCTGGGCAAGCAACAGACTCACCTGGGTAATAGAGATGGATCCTTCTGTTTCACACATGGGAGCATCATCAGCCACTAACACCAATGCTTTCTTTAGTACTGGTACTAATCCAAACACTTGAGATACCCACTGAGAATTTTCTCCCCAAATGCCCCCTACTGTTCCTGAACTGTTAGCTAGGTAAAGCTGGGGTAGGAAACAGAGCTTTATTCCTGTTACCTGACTTTGCAGACTTCCAGCTTCCACCCTCTGCAAGTTTGTATCCTCTTCCTGGTCCTTCAGTCATACCTTTCATCTTAGAATCATAGAATAGAATCATAGAATTGTTTAGGTTGGAAAAGACCCTTAAAATCATTGAGTCCAACTGTAAACCCAGCACTGCCAAGTCCACCACTAAACCATGTCCCTAAGCACCACATCTACACACCTTTTAAATACCTCCAGGGATGGGGACTCAACCACTTCCCTGGGCAGCCCGTTCCAATGCTTGACAGCCCTTTTGGTGAAGAAATTTTCGCTAATGTCCAATCTAAACCTCCCCTGGTGCAACTTTTCCACCAGGCAGCTTTCCAGCCACTCTCACCCAAGCCTGTAGCACTGCATGGGGCTGTTGATACCCAGAGGTACGAACTGGCTTTGGCCCTTCTAATTTTCTCCCTGCATAACCTCATGACATCCTTGTAGTCCTCCTGAGTTGCCTGCCCCTTCTTTCAAAGGTCATAAACTCTCTTATTACCCTGAGTTCCAGCCAAAGCTCTCTGTTCAGCCAAGCCAGTCTTCTTCCCTGCCAGCTTGTCTTTTGGCACATGGGGATGGTCTGCTCTTACGCCTTTAAGACTTCCTTCTTGAAGAATGTGCAGCCTTCCTCGACCCCTTTGCCCTTCAGGGTGGCCTCCCAAGGGACTCTGTCAATCAGGCTCCTCAACAGGCCAAAGTCTGCCCTCCAGAAGTCCAAGGTGACAGTTCTGCTGACCCCCTCCTTACTTCTCCAAGAATCCAAAACTATCATTTTGTTATCTCTATGCCCAAGACAGCCTCCAACCATCACATCACCCACCAGTCCTTCTCTGTTTGCAAACAACAGGTCCAGCGGGCGCCTTTCCTAGTTGGCTCACTCACCAGCTGTGTCAGGAAGTTACCTTCCACACACTCCAGGAACACAATATTGTATTTCCAGCAGACATCTGGTAATTCTTACCGCAATGGGGCTTAAGCTTGTGTGTTGGAGAAATTTCTTCAAAGATCCTGCTGGTGTCCTGTGCAGCACCCCCGATGCCGTGAAGCCCACTGGCTGCTCCTCACTGAGCAGACCAGTGACTTGATCAGAATGCACCGCCCCGGCTCCCTGCCCTAGGGACCTGCAGTCCCAGATGGGGATGGCAGAATGTACCCCCAGCACTTCCATGGAGGCTGAGGTTGCCAATATACCAGGAAGGCTGCACTGGTGACCTGTGCTGTGTTATTACCATTTGGGAGCAGCTTCTGTTGGTGACATCTCCGGGATTTCTTTACGTTCCCTGCCACTGAACTGACATATTAACCGCTTTGCTTCTGGTTTTGTGTCCTGATGGCAGGGCTCCTTGTTGCTGGTGCTCCCCAAGAAACACGGTCTCATCTCTGGATGGGTCAGAAGCTGATGTGAGTTAACTTTGCCCCTGTGAGATTCCCGCCTGGCGGGGAGCTCCGCAGGCTGCCGGTGAGGGAGGGAGTTCCCTGCCCCGTCTGCTGGCTTCCTCTTGCACCGCTGTTCAAAACAGGGGCTGGAAACTGGGTCCAAGTTAGCCATGCTACTTTAGGACTGGGACTAGCAGTCCTAGTTTTGGGGTAGGCAAATTAAGGTGATTTATGCAGGATTTGGTTTTACGTGTTTTCCTCAACAACCATCCAGTAAAGTAAATATATGTTGTTATTTTTTTCTGTAAAGTATTTTTAGTAACTCTTCAGTGTGTGTTTTACTGAATGACTAATGCATTTTGGTACATCTGAATTACATCTATACTGAGTCATTTTGTTTTGTAATGACATATTTAAATGTTTAAATCTCTACAGAAATTAAATATTGTAAAAGTCTTTAACCTTTTGTTCTGGGAGTTGGTTTGTGCCTGTATTATGTCACCGCAAGCCTCTGCAATGGGGAAGAGCTCCTGTAAGCTGAGGACTAACAGAATGCTGTATCACAAAAACATTTCTGGAAACCATAAATGAGCCAGTGTGGTTTTGAACAGCCAAAATTTTGTTTTTTTGAATCATATCTTCCCCTGCTTGCTGTGTAATGTTGTTGCATTTAACATTTCACAATACTGTTGCTGGATTCTTTTTATTTTTCCTAAGCCACTGTTCACCCAACATTTCTAAAATTTTTCCTCGTCTCAGGCTGTAGTTACTTTGCATTTTGAAACTAAGGCTTTGTTTATGGGGAAGGCTTTGCCGGTGACAGAACTGAAATAGTTATGTCAGTGTTCCCTGCATTCTTGCTCTGGGATGAGTGGGAGGTTTTTTGCTTTTCTTTTGTTTTGTTTTATTTTGTTAAACTCTCATATAGGACATATAAGCTGAAATGAAATAAAAGGATCTGCAAATGTTATACTGGGATAGCTGTAAAATAAATGTAAACATTTACTTCTTGTATAGACTGGTTGAACAGCCTTCCTTGAATTACTTTGTCATGTGTACTACTTCTTGAACTACCCTAGTCTGCTATCATTCTCGTATCAGCTCGCGATGCCCTTACAGTCCTTGAACAAATGCCTGTTATACCAGGCTGGCCTTCTTTTGAAACACCTTACAAGCTTTCACTTGCGCTTCATTATCCTGCATTTGTAATCTGTGTTTCTCCCGATGTGTGGTTTATATTGCGTGTTTGCTTGTGTGCCAAGTCCATCATTTACTTTGCGAGCTCTTTCGGGCAGAGCGCTGTTCAGCACATCATGTGCTTTCTGAAGCCCATACCGTGTTCTTAGAATCCAAAGAAGGATCATCAGTCATTGCGGAGGACCAGTATCCCTTTATTCTGCTATCTGTGAATACTCTTTGAGGCTTTTCATTGCCTTCTCCAAGCAAGGAATCAAAACTAAGAACCACAGAAGAAGTTGGTTTTGTGCTTGCACGAATGGGTTGTATTATGACAAAGGGTTTGAGAAGAAC